AGATGTTTGATAAAATGTGTCTTCCTCTGCACTTGCAAGAACCCTGGCTACTGCTGATTTTAGACTTTGTATAATTGTATTGTCACAAAAAAAATCAACAAAAAGAGATGAGAACGCAAAGTTTCTTGCCGGTTCTTCTCTGTTCAACTCTAGTTTAGTGAGACGAGCTATAAGAGCTTAAATTAAGCCTATATTGAATAAAGATTTTTGACTTAAAAAAAAGCCGACGAAGTCTTAGTCTTGCAGGTTAACGTAACCAAAAAATCGAATTTTAAAGGTGATGGGCGAGCTGGCGCGGTTCACCAGAAGCTCACTTTACTACTTTTACTTTTTCTATGATGTTGTGGTACTTCACCGAACGAGCCTGCCCATCCGGGCAATATCAAAGACTGATGCGTGGAGTCCATAATGAACATTTACACGGAGAAAGCTGCAATAACTCGATCCTCACTATTGGTATACAACTGTGTGTCTTTCTGTACTGACCCGCCTATGATCCACAACAACCGTTAAGTTGTTGTTGCGTTGTCAAAACCATCAATCCGTCTTGGTAAACTTACTAGAAGTACTTAAATGTGACAGACAAATATTACTCAATTTAACTGTGGTAGGGGCAGGGTAGCTCCGTCCGGGTAAGTACCACGACCTCACAGAAGAACGGCGTGAAGTGGAAGTGGTTCTTAGTTTCGTCATGTGAGTGGGGTAGCCGGGGCTAGAACTTATGGCATAATATGTAGGTTAGCCATGTGGTAAATACTAGTTATCTTTGTTTAGGTAAGTATACTTTAATGAAGTACTTACTCACAAATCGATCATTATGTCTTGGATCTTCTAATCACAATATTGGTGACTGCAGTCATAATTGTTATAAATGTATATTATTCATGTTAAAGAAACAAAAATTCCAGCAACCGAGAAAACTTCCTTCTCGCAAAGACAAACACTAAACCGGATCCTTAGGTTTTCCTCAATCATTAACTATGTTTTTTGCTTGAAACGCTATTATAAATCCATCAACATCAAATTAATCCAATTTATTGGTGACACAAATATTATTTAATTAAAGTCTTGTTGTTATGATACGCAGTATTCGAAATCTTAGAGACTGAAACAGGAAAAGGGTTCGCACCCACAGAAATTACGTTTCGAACCCTTTCCAGTGTTCATGGGACAGACTGTAAAATAGTTTCATTTAATTTAGCTTATACAATTCAATATCAGATAAAAAGCTCAAGTTATTTTAGACCTACTAAAAGGATACATATTGATTGGTTTGAATAACAATATTAATAGTAAGTAATACAGTATAATTTTAACTGGTGATGTTGCATTACATGGAAATAAAATTTATACTGTTTAAGTCTACTAGCTAGCTAAATTTTTCTTAGAATTAATCCTGTTTTATTTTAATTGCCGCTTTGTATTCCCAGAAGTCTGAAAACGTAAAGCAACCATGGACAAATGTTATTGGTTATAACACTGCTGTGAAATTATGCATTGCTAATTCCATTTTCTTCTTCTTTGAACAATATAGCTTCAACGGTCACCGCATTTAAAAATAGAACACTGCCCAGAAAAGAAATCCGGTCAATCGCCGCCCGTTAAAATCACAAGGTTGCTGGAAACCTCACGTGGTTTGATCAGCTGATAAACATACGGTTGGCGTTCATCCAGATTCTGTTATTCGGAGATGGATTCGATAGGTGCGGTACATTTTGAAAAAAATGTCTGATAGGAAGAGTCAGAAGCGAGCGGTCATGAATGACTGACGACGTAGATACATATTTTGTAAGCGTAAAGCGGCCGTACCACCAGATGTTAAGTGATAACCAATCACTTAATATCTGGTCAAATCACCCATGGACATTTACAAAATCCGTAGGATTTCAAATGCGTTACAGCCTGTCAATAAAGTAGGCCCCGGTTACCTTTCTCACCAGACGAAACGCAGAAGTTTAACACTTACACTTAACGGTCTTCTCGCCACCACTTAACGGTCACCGTCGGTCTTCTGTGTGGTCGTGGTACTTCCCCGGACGGCGCTGACCATTCGTGCAACAGCGAATGGTAATCGATGTTAGCTAGTTTTGACCGACTGCGTTCACTGTTTAAAACTAGCTCGTCCGAGTAAGTACCACGACCTCACAGAAGACCGACGTAAAGTGGAAGTATGAGAAATATTTTCGCGTTTCGTCTGGTGAGTGAGGTAGCCGGAGCCCAATTTCCAAAAGGGTTGTAAACGCATCTTTAAACCCTCGGGTGTAGGAGATGTCCATGGGCGGCGGTATTCACTTAACATCAGGTGAATCGTCTGTTCGTTTGGCAACTTTTCACATGAAAAAAAAACTACAACACCGACAAATTCCGTGGTAATTTAGTATTTCTTGAATATTATGTCGTTTTCCAGGACGGAATGCCCATGCGTGACTACCCGTGCAAACAGCGGAGACTGCTGCGCGGGCCTACCCCAGTATATTTAGATTATTGATTATTGTAGCGGTAGATTATCCTAATTCAACATTCACATTCCAATTTACAATCAGACAAAAAGATTTAAGGGAGAATACAGAAGTGTTTGTACTATAAAGTTATGACATTATGATCGCTGTCTTGCAAATGTTTTTATTTTCCTTTCCGGCACATTGGACGGAATGGTGCTACTTCGACAATTGACCTTTACTTGGCCGAATTATGATTTTTGCTATAAAGAGAGCCCTCCGTTGCCACTGCAATGAAATTGTGTTTTTAACTTACAAATATACAAATTTTTGATTTTGAACATAAACTGCGCTCCGAACCCCTCTGAGTGCAACTACATATTAGCTTAAGTAATACAAATGTTAAAGAATTAAAGCGAAATGGAATCGGACAGGCGCGATCGGGATCGATGCATAGAAGAAAAGAAAGAAATTACCGAAGACTTACGCCCGGTTTCTGAAGCACTGATCATCTCATATGTTAACTTATCAGCTGTCAAATGGCTTTTGAGTTTCCAAGGATGATTAAACTCTTTGAATTGATCATTCAGCTCATTAAGAAGATCATTCGGATCAATTCAGAGAGTTTAACCATCCTTTTGGGAACTTACATAACATTTGAAGACATTTGACAGCTGATTAGTCGACTTCTATGATGATCAGTGTTTCTGAAACCGGGCGTTATTTTTCTACTCATTGAGAAACTTGTTCCTACCGCAATATCATTGAGTCATCGATTATTCAATTCGAAAGACGATAAGTCGTATTTTACATACTTCCTTAAGCTTATATCCATCTGCAAAACTACAAGTAAAGAGATTGTACAAAGCTGATTAGATCGAATATTTGCCATAAATTTCTTTAGAAATCAGCTGCTATGTTCACGTTAGGGATTATTGTAATGCGAGTAAGTTTATCGGGACTGAAAGAGTAAGCGTTAGTATTGCTTTTTGAAGTTATTCTTCTTTTCGTGCAATTGGAAAAAAATGTTAGAGCAAAATTTTTACGATGCGAGCGCGCACACCGACAGCAACATGATGAAGTTGTAAACGAACCGACTTCGGCAACTTCACGGCATTACCATGAAAACAAATAAAAACTTTTTGACATTTACCTATAATTCCAAGTTATTTAACTAAACCGTTATCAATAGCATTTTAATGTATTTTTCACAAACAAAAAGTACTGGCACATTGGATCAAATTATTAGTTATTTTTAGTTACGCTATATTAGTTATTTTTTGCAAGCTCTGGGCTCCAATCCCGGTGGCGGCAATATTTATTGCGTTTGTTAATGTCAGTTTACCACATGATCGCCTGTAACGAAAAACAACGCCATATCTGAGCAATAATTTTACAGCCTACAAACAAAATCGAATATACTTTTACAACGATAATTCGAACGAGAGATCTTTGCTATTTGAAATTTATATTTTTATAGTGCTAATCTCTGCACTTAAGATGAAACGTTAAACTTTGTAGAAAATTATGCCGATGACATGCCGATTCTTATTACTAAACGACGATTGTTCAAAAAATATTAGACGCATTTAAAACTGTATTGAATAATGTACATAACTTCATCGTCATTACATTCATTATGTAGACAAACAAATAGTCCCCCGGCACTTTTCATGACGGTTTAACTGATAGGATGGTCACGTAAGATAAGACCTGACCAAGCCATATTATTGACCCCGTTAAGAACATACGAGATAATTTTATTACATATTAAACGCCAAAGGTCTTAGCAAGCTAATGTTTTATGAACAAAACATTATTTCTGGCCAATATAACGACAGTACGGCTCGAGCGATTTAAAATGTTTCGACATTTTTGACGGTTCTACATTAATTTTAAATGTACAAATTTCATAGAAGCTATTGCAGAAAGTCCAGAAAAGATAATATGAAAAAAACATATACGTAGATTTAAAATTTTTATTTCGACAGAAAAGTAGTAGACTTTGTTTATGGCTACGCTTTGCAAATAACATATTGACATCATAATACATGATAATACTAAATACCATGAGATAACTTTAAAGCAAGTAGAAGTTTCTTTAAAAATGGATCAAGTACCTACTGTCGTGGTTTTTCATGTCATATTTATCATTACACACTTAATATGTTGAAATTCAGATTGCGATTTTTACTACGAATTTAACATTGGTAACGGGGAAATGTACCCACTTACACCATAGTCAGTTTTGAGATGTTATACTAGGAAGGCTTGGAATTAAAACAGTTAAAATCGGTAAACTGGCAACATTTCAATTTGATAATACTGAACTTTAAATCATATTTAACAGATGGATAAGATAGAACAAAATAAACGTACTCAGACAAATGGCATAATACTACTCTAAACGCGCAGAGGTTTCTTCATTGGTTACATATAATATACAAAAATACATCACCTCCATATCTTAAAGGTTGTCCTCCAATCCTTTCATTCTCATTGCAATGGGAAATATAAGCATATATTTGCATTTTCTCTAACGAGACTAATGCCCACACTTACATGAAGTCCTCCAAATCGACGACATTGGTGTACTGACAGGGCTGCCCATCAACATCATAGCACATGCTGTTGTAGTCCCACTGTTGGCCGTTGCACGGCAGGTTCAGGGGTGCGGGGGCATACTCCGCCCGCTGCACGGCGCCACAATATAATTGTGGGGTGTTACACGCGTAGTAAGCACTGTTATAACACTGCATGGACGGTCCCATGTAAGCGTCTCTATAGGCGCCGTAATCGCTAACGTGAAATTGAGACTGTTTAGCCCACTGGCTCGACATCGGACACTGTCCACTCCAAGTCTCCTCGTAGCCCCCCACGACTGGGCACTGCTGCGGCAGACCGCTGCCGTCCACCAACATTTTCACAATTGCAGCACCAGCGTTTCAACGGTAGCACCGACCATCTGGCTACATTATCCACGGGCGACTGATAGCGGTGGAGTTTCTTATCACAGACAGCAATAGAACGCGTGGTTGCGAAAATGTCGATCGCATTTATTAGATAACAGCGAGAACGCAATTATTTTCGACCCTAAAGAGTCCAATTATATTCATAAAGCAGCGCGTTACATTGTAGATGCTCTTTTTGAACTCGTTATGAAGTGAATGATTAACTCTATTTATTCCAGCATCCTGGTAAACATACTTCGTAACTCGTTGAGTGGTGTTTTCCTTAACGTAAGAAATTTCTTTATACAATTCAGACATTTTTCAACTATCATCATCAAAACATTGAAGTTCCTGTTGGGAATCCTGATGGGTATTTTGGAGCGTTGACTGGTACGGTTCTATGTAACTCTTATTTAAATGACAACACAACCTTACTTAAGATCTCAAAGTACAGCAGGGTCAGGAGGCACGGATCTAGAAGTATCATGAGAGTATTGACCTTCTTCAAACTTTAAAAAATGAAATAATAAAGGAACAATCAATTAGCGTAGAACCTTTTTTATTGATAATCTCAATCGTATTTGTATCTATTCAAAAAGTTCAAGAAGAATCGTAAGTGTGAGATGATTATGCATTATAATAAGATCAGCCCAATTGTATTAATGACGTTAGGGGTAACTAGAAAAATTGTTTGCTGCATACTGTTTACTACTAGGACGCCGTATAAAATATTTATTCATCTGTGATTCTATATAATTCGTCGTGATTATAAATGTCCTCTGTCAACTGTGGTAGGTTACTGTGGTAGGCCACGCAACAACTTCGGCTGTTGCACGAATGGGCAGGACCGTCTGGGTAACTACAATGACCTAACAGAAGACCGGCATGAAGTGGAATTGTCATACTTCTGCGTTTCGTCTTGAGAGTGAGGTAGCCGGGGAACACTTTTTTAAAGGTGGCAACGCATCTGCAACCCTACGGGTGTTGCAAATGTCAATGGGCGGCGGTTATCACTTAACATCAGGTGAACCCTCAGCTCACTTGCTACCATCTTACATAAAAAGAATAAAATAAAACCGTACAGACTTTCATGTCTAAATACATGGTCCATTATACGATGACGTTTTAATGACCGATTAAAGTCAAGTGATACAAATCATCTCAACCCTGGCCTGGTGTACGTAATGTAATATCGTTATTCTCGTAGGCGCTATAAAATGTTGTATGTAACTAAGTGTACGATTATGAGTGGTCTGCGTCAATCCTATTCTATTTCGACGTGAGTGTGTTCAAAGGGTGTTTAGGTATGAGCTGAACAGTGGTCAACTGAATTTTGTGTTCACTACACACTACCGCAGTCTAAGACGACATCAATATCTGCCAATGGTTTGGAAAGTTCTCGAACAATAATTAATAAGACGGTGGAAAAGTACTCACGTAAGGGATGGAATAATTTCACTCGCCTTGACAGCCCATTAAGATATGCAATAGCCAGATTATTAATTTTAATGGTCATTTATGTATTTCTAGACGATTTCGTAACATGAATAACTCTTTTTACGTAAATAACTTAGTAAGTTATTCTTCTTATGGTAGAGCCACGCATCAGTTTCTACTATTAGACGAATGGGTGTAGGCTCGTCCAGGAAAGTTTCTTGACATTGATCGAAAGATCTAAGAAAAAAAACTGTCCAAGTGCGAGTCGGACTCGTACACGAAGGGTTCCGTACCATTATCTATAAAACGGAATTTAAAATTTCAACCGTCTAACTATCCATAAGATACAGCCGGTGACAGAAAGACAGACGGAAAGCGTAGTCTTAGTAATAGGGTCCCGTTTTACCTTTTGGGTACAGAACCCAATTATTGATATACAAAATTTATTGACGGCTAAATTTACATCCAGCGATTCACGAAAAATGCCCGGCTAGACGGTTATGGTGGTCGTATTCTAACTTATTATGTCTCGTATGAGCCGTGATAGCTGTGTCCGGGCGCTCGCCTTTAATTCAATATACTCCAGAGCAACCTAAGTTCGATCCCCGGTGCCGCCACCAATGAAGTTTTTAACTTTAAGTGCTCCGCGGTGAAGGAAAACATCGTGAGGAAACCTGCATATTTTCGAAATAATAACAAAAAAAATATTTTTCGAAGATATGTGAAGTCCGCCAATCCGCAGTGGGGTCGCGTGGTGGACTATGCCCTGATACCCTCTGTATAGAGGAGGCCTTTGCCCAGCAGTGGGACATGTATAGGCTGTTACTTTACTTTTACTTTTATGTCTCGTATTAGAACTAATTATGCCGAATGAATTCTTGACATAACTTACTGCTTCTTTCACATATAATTAAGTGGTACTTGTAACGTTATTGTCTATGATTATTACTATATATTGGGTCGTTCATAGATATTACTTCCTTCTTATTCTTGTCAACGCCCAACGTGTATATCATGTAAGTGATCAAATAAAGTTTATACAACTAAACAAGTCTTCTTTACTCATTTACAATAAAACATGGTGTCAGAAGTGAAAAATTAATACAAATACAAGAAAAAATAATATGGCAGATCAGTCTAACATAATAATTTCAAACACGCTACGACCTCTCATTGTCGACGGACAAATATGTGAAAGATGGCGGACATGGAAGCAAAAATTCGAAATTTTTATGGAAGCAAACGAGCTTGACAACCGATCACCAACCAAACAAGTCGCAATCCTTTTAAACGCAATCGGCGACGAAGGATTAAAGGTATTTAATTCATTCAATATTAACAGAGCAGATTCTTCATTAACCTTAAAACACGTGTTTGACAAATTCGACGCAAAATTTAATCCATGCAAAAACGTGACCGTCGAAAGATTTAATTTTTTCACAAGAACACAAAAGGAAGGTGAAACAATCGATGAATATGTCACAAGTCTGACCAACCTAAGTCATTCATGCGAGTTCAAAAGTCTCCAAAATTCTCTAATAAAAGACATGTTTGTTATTGGAATAAGAAGCCGTAAAATCCAAGAACATTTGTTACAAAAGGACAAGTTGGAAATAGAAAGTGCCGTAAATATAGCAAAAAGCATAGAAATGTCGCAAAATAGGTCAGAAAAGTTACAAAATAGTCAACAATTAAATATAAATGTCGCAAAATATCAGCCAAAAAAGATTTCAAGAAGCATAGGGAGAAGGGATAATCGGTCAGAGTCATCAGCATCAAGAAACATTTCAAGTAGTCGCAGCCAGACAAGTCAATATAAGAAACAATGTTCTCGATGTGGTCAAATTCATAGATTTAAATGTCCAGCAATGGGAAAAGTTTGTATAACTTGTAAAAAACCAAATCATTTTGCCAATTGCTGTTTTTTCAAACCTAAACTTAATAAAGTAAGTACTGTCTGTAACAATTCACCCTTTGAAAATAATAACTTTATAATTAGCGCTATCAATAAATCACATCAGGATTGGCAAATTGATGTGGACTGTTATGGATATATATTAAAATGTCGGATAGATACAGGTGCTGATACAAATGTAATGTCTAAACAAACTTTTGAAACACTTTGTTCAGCCACAAACACAAAAATACCTATTTTTAACACACATAATAACATATATTCTTTTTCAGGCGAACTAATTCCAAATATCGGTATTTATAATCTAGAATGCAAATTCACTAACGGTTTGATAAATAACTTACAATTTACTATTGCGGATTGCAATTGCCAGACAATTTTAGGATGGAAAAGTTGTGAAAAAATGGGTATAGTACAAAGATTATTTACTTTAACAGAAAATAAGCAACAACAGTCAAGGTCAGTACAAAACATTCTTAATGAGTATTCATCAATGTTCACAGGGTTAGGATGTTTAGTCAAAGAAGCACATTTAGATGTTGATCCTAGTATTCCTCCAAAAATCTGCCCAGTTCGTAGGATTCCCTATTCTCTTAGAGATAGATTAAAACAAGAGTTAGATGAAATGGAAAAATTACATGTTATTGAAAAAGTGACAAAACCAACTAAATGGGTGAGTTCTATTGTTCTAGTACAAAAACCTAATGGTAAATTACGTATATGCCTAGATCCGAGAAATTTAAATTTAGCAATTCAAAGACCTCATTATCCTTATCCTACATTTGATGACTTACGTTCTAAAATAGCCGGTGCTACAATATTTTCTAAATTAGATGCTAACTCAGGATACTGGATTATAAAATTAGATGATGAAAGTAGTGACCTGTGCACATTTAACACACCTTATGGAAGGTACAAATTTCTTCGTCTTCCATATGGTATTAATTCTAGCGGAGAAATATTTCATAGAATAATGTCTGAAACATTTGAAGGTCTTCCCGGTGTAATAACATTCATTGATGATATCCTTGTATTTGCTTCTTCAGAGTCTGAACATAATCAACGTCTTGAAGCTGTTTTTAAAAGGGCCCAAGAAGCAAACATAAAATTTAATAAAACAAAATTTCTTTTGGAGTCCCTGAAGTGTGCTATGTAGGACATATTTTTAATAAAAATGGTGTTTCCCCTGATAAGTCTAAAATAGAAGCTATAATTAATATGAAAAGTCCAACAAATGTCAAAGAGCTTCAACGCTTCTTAGGAATGATAAATTATCTAGGTAGCTTCATTTCTAATTTAGCAGAAAAAAACTAATTTACTTCGAGCTTTACTTAAAAAACAAAATATATGGCAATGGACAGAGTCACATGAGCAAGAATTTATAAAATTAAAATCATTAATATGTCAGGCTCCAGTATTAGTTCATTATAATATAAATAAGCCTATAAGAATGTCAACTGATGCTTCAAAAAATGCTGTAGGAGCAGTAATATGTCATGAAAAAAATCCTATTGCATATGCCTCAAAGTCATTAACTTCTTGTCAAGAGCAATATGCTCAGATTGAAAAAGAATTATATGCTATAGTTTTTGGATGCAAAAAGTTCCACCAATATATA